TTCTTCCATCAGCAAACGGGATAAGCTGAAAATATTGCCCCTTAAAATCTATATTATTATTATTATTATTATTATTACTACTACTACTACTACCAGTACTTGTAGCAGTAGTGTTGTACTTGACTGTGCTCGCCGTTGTCTCAGATCCTAAAGAAGGAAAAAAGTAAGCAAGATTAACACAAGTACATGATGAAATACTTGGAAAATAGTATGCGCGGGGTACGGTGTTAGATGCTCATGCTACATACACCTGATTATTTACATTGGGTGGATTTTGAACCGTATATATTTTAATCAATATTTAAATATTATCTCAAATATTAAATGAATATTTGATAGCTCTAACAATAATCGTTAATATAAACAAAATAAATCATAAACTCATTTTTTTTTATTCAAATCACAACTTTTATTTTGAAATTAAAAAAAATATTTTTTATCACCGAAGTTTGACCCGCCTTCAAGGTTTGACCGCCTCAGACTGCTAATACCACCTCAAAGGCGAAAACACTAATTTTCAAACCTTTACACTAAAATCGGAAAGATTTGAATCTTCTTCGCCTTGAAGACAGATTAATTAGCCGTCTCGATCGATTTTTAGAACACTGTATGCAAATTAAGTTAATTGTGTATAATAATAAAAATATAATAAAACGAACCACCAAATTTGGCAGCTCTATATTTATTAAAGGGATAATTAGCAAGAACCCCCTCATCTAGGAAAATGAGTTAAGAAAACACCCCCTCCCAAAAATAATTAGAGAAAATCCCCTTACATAATATCCTACCCAAATATTATTTAATAATTCTCAAACCACCCTTATTAATATTAAATCTCGTCAATACCCTAACCCATTGCCGTTCTTTTTTTTTTTTGTTTTTTTCGTCTTCTCGTCTTCTCTCTTCTGCCGTTTTCTCTTCTTCTTTTCTCGTCTTCTCTCTTCTCGTCTTCTCTCTTCTCTTCTCGACTGAAATTCGGAAGAAAAGCAAGACGTCGACCGATGGTGGTGGTGGGGTTGAAGAGTGTTTGTCACCGCCTCCCGCCGCCGCGTGAAGGGTGGTGATGAATCTGTAGTTCGCGGCGGTGATTTCCACCGACGACGTTGAAGATGACGACTGGCCACGCTGTGGGTTGACGCCCATGAGGATGAGGCATGAGAAAATACTGTTGCAATTGATGTTGGTGAATGTATTTTTTTTGGACATTGAAATGTTAATTTGTGTTTTTTTGTATGAATTATTTAATTTATTTATTTTATTCTTGTTAGGGATTAGTTGAATAGTGTATTGTGGCAGCGGTGTGGTGACGATGGGGAGGCAGATTTAGGATTTTTTGTTGGATTGGGCGGATAACAGCGCGTGTAGAGAATTTCGCGCATGCTGAAACCTTAATCGACTATATACATATTCATAGTCGATTAAGCTAATCGACTATGTTCTGGTAGTCGATTAAGGTTGATCGACTCCATTTTTTTTTAGTTTTTTGGATTTTTCGTTTATTGATTCCAATTGTATAAATCAATTATAATGTTTGTATATTTTTTGTTTTTGTAATATAGAGGTGATTTTGCATTTTTTCGCAGTTGTGATTTGTTATTTTTAGTAGCAGATTGTTAATCGACTATGCTCTAGTATCGATTAAGGTTGATCGACTTCAATCTTTTTCTTTTTTTTTTGGTTTTTTTTTGTTGATTCCAATTGTATAAATCAATTATAATGTTCTTATATTTTTGTTTTTTTGTAAAATATAGTTGATTTTGAATTTTTTTGCAGTTTTGATTTATTATTTTTAGTGGCAGACTTTTGATCGACTATGCTTCATCATAGTTGATTAATATACTGATATAGAAGGATACCCGTGTCGGGCCGTGTCGTAATTTCGTTAAAAGTAGGAGACCCGTGTCGGGCAGTATCCACAATTTTAAAAAAGTTGGGACACTTCTCTTAGAGAGAGCCCTAATAAGAAAAATGCGCATTTTCTTGTATTTGTAATACACATTTTCTCTGTTTTCTTTGTGAGTCCACCCAAAACTCCAAAAGTTTAGCATGCGACGGCGACCAAGAACCCGAGCAACAAGGGCGAGCGGTTCTCTTATGCGATGACGGCTTATACATATTTCTTACAATTTATAAATTAACCCCCTATATTTTTATTATTTATAAATAAACCCCTATATTTTTTATATTTACGCGTATCCCCGCGTGTCCGTATTCTAGTTTTTTGGAAATGCCGTATCACCGTGTCCGTATCCGCGTATCACCGTGTCCACGTATCACAAAAGCCGAAATTTTTCGCCCCGATTCCCATGTTTGATGGAGAATATTAATTAATAATTATGTATTGTGATTCAATCTGCTCGTTAGAGCAGCGGAACTGAGCCCGGATATGAGTGTGAAGATATATTATCTTAATTATTTGTATAAGCTACCTAATACTCGTTTTAATTACTCCATTTTAATATATAGTTTGGAGTTCAATTATTGCACGGTAACAAAAACTCACAATTCAACGGTTTAGTATCATTAATTTTTATTTATTTATTTTATTTTTTTACTTTCACACTTTTCCCTAAAAATTCAAAAAATGGATATAATCCCCTCTGAAATATTGTTTTGGTTCCACTTTGCCCCAAAACCTAATTTGCGGTAGGCACGGAGCAACAAAAATAACATTTAAAACAGTAACGTGCAACAAAGATACTCAATTCCGGTGAATAATGCATCGTTATTTCGCTATGGGAGCAATGTGCAACAAGATTAACATTTTGAAGAGGCCATTTACTTTTTAAAACTTTGAGGAGATAAAGTGCGAAAATAAGAATTCTATAGGGGGTGAAGTACAATTTGCCCTTCGTTTTTTTGGTTTGTTGTGAATTTTCACGAATTTATTGTAATATTTTGTTAGAATAGGGTTATTAGCATTTTACCATCTGTACTTTGCCCTCTTTCATAAAAAAAAAAAAAAAAAAAAAAAAAAACCTTTGCACATACACACCTAAAACCGTAATTTTGACTCACTTAACCACCTAGGGTTTCTATATTTAGGCGAATCTTCACAAATTCTGACGCACGAGCAAAGCACATGACTAGTACATGGTTTTTTTCATCTAAACATATCATATAAGGTAAAATTGAAAATTACAAGGGACCTAATTGAATTAAATTTGAAACTTGTCCGAATTCAAAATTAATTAAAATAAAATTTTGAATCTTTATTTTAATTGACACAGGCTCACTTGCCCCAACTGCTAAACGCTCTTTTACGAAACAACAAATATAATATACTTAAAACAAGGTGCATGGCGAGCGAAGTTTTCAGCTATTAATGGGATGGCGCAAAGATATCTGATACCAAGAAAATTCATTTAAATATCAGCCTCGAGGAAGATTAAATAAAATCCACATGAGCTGTACATTTCTCTTTCTGTCAAGATCAATTAACTTGATTTAATTATTGTTATGATTAATCATTAATTAGATCAATTAACTTGAATTAATTATAATTAATCAGCCGTCCATTATCAATATAATAAGTGATTCCAGCGTCATCATATTTTATTAATTTCCACCGAAAGAGCATCTAATTAATGGCTAATCATAAAATAAGGGGTTTTATCACTACCACTCATGTGTTAATCTTTAATAGCCGAAAAAATTCATGTATTAAAAATATTAGCAAAGATCCCCTATAAAATTTAGTCAAAATCAATAAAGTAACCCATTCGAGCACTAGCCTTATACGCAACTGAGAGTGTATTGTTTGACATGAAACGATTCAACTGTATACAACTGTATTATAGCCTTATACAACAGTATTATACTATATTATATCGTAGTATATTATAGTCTATTACAGAAAAATATGTATACTGGATTAAAAAATGAACAAAAAAAGAATAGCATGCTTTTGTTTTTGTAATAATATTATATACAAGAAAACGAAAAAAAATAATTTTATTTTTATAATTTTGTATAAATGCTAAAATGAAGAAAGAAAAGTAAAAAAAAATTAAAAAACGTTAGAATTTACTAAATGCAAAATAAAGTAATAAATGAAACTATTAAATGCATAATAAAATAATAAATGCAGTTCGAATTTACTAAATGCAGATTTTGAATTTGTGAGTAGAAGGGCATATTTGGAATGAATTTTACAAAGGATGTGAAGCAAAGATTTAATTGGACTTGTTATTTAATTCTAATAAATTTTGTCACCAGGGACCTATATCTTAACGCCCCAAAATAAAATTATGGCTAAAGTGACACTTAAGATGAAAGAGAGGAATTATTCTGTAAGGAATTATACATATATTATTTGATTAATAAAACATCTAAATAGCAGGCTAAATGGGTACCTCTATATATAAGTATAGGGTGAATTTAAACCGTAGATTTTATTAAATAACTACCCATTAAGGTCTAAGCACACATACACATGAATATATGTGTGATTATGCGTAAATTTATAGTTCAAATCCACCCAATGTAAACACTCAAGTAGCATTTAATTTTGTGGTAGATCTATTGCAAATAAGAAAGCATTATTTTTGAAAAACCATAAATCTTGCACCCAAGATCAGACAAAACATCAACTTGCAAAAGATTTAAAATTTTGAAATAGAAAGAGTTTGTAGAAAAGTTGGAAGTTTTATAAAATTTATATTGGAAAAAAACACACTCAAATTAAAGGGGAAAATACAGTCTGAACCCCTGAATACCACATAAACTACAAAACGTATCAAAAGTAAATTAAATGACTAATTGCTTAAGTATAACTCCTTTGTTTAAATCTTTGGCATCAATAATGTTACTCGAATTTCTCAACAAATACAATAAAATAATGTTATGTTAGTTTACTCCAAAATTAAAGTCAAACCAGATGGGATCTCATTTCCAAAGTACACTTGTGTATTTATACAACTTCTCAAGAGAAGATCATCAAATACAGTGCGAATCTTGCATTAAAAAAAAAAAACAAAACAAAAAAAAAATCAACTTGGCTTAACCCTGATGGATCTCCAGTTTCAATCCCTGCCGATTCTTGTCTCCGTTTTCATACCAATCTTCGTCGTCTTTTTCTTCTTCTTCTCCAGACTCAGAACAAAAAAGTCAACTCGAAATCTGCCACCAGGGCCATGGAAGTTGCCTCTGATAGGGAATATGCACAATCTGATTGGCTCTCTTCCCCACATTGCTCTACACGAATTGGCCCTGATATACGGGCCGGTGATGCACCTTCAGCTCGGCGAACTCTCGTCCGTTATAATTTCATCACCCGACGCCGCAAAGCAGGTGATGAAAACCCACGACATAAACTTCGCATCAAGGCCGTCGATCATCGTGACTGAGATTCTCAGTTACAACTGCACAAACGTCGGGTTTAGCGAGTACGGTGATTACTGGAGGCAGCTGAGGAAGATCTGCACGCTGGAGCTCCTGAGCATGAAGCGCGTCTCGTCTTTCCGTTCGATAAGAGAAGAGGCGTTTCTTGATCTCGCTAGATGGTTATTGGATTATAAGGATCAGCCTGCAGCAGTTAATTTGACGGAGAAGCTCTACTCTTGCGCCTATTCTCTCATTTCAAGGGCAACGTTTGGTAAGAAATCCGAGGCTAACGAGAGATTGCTATCCATAATCAAAGAAGGTATCGTGTTGGCGGCGGGGTTTAACGTTGCGGATGTTTATCCTTCGATCAAGTTGCTTCAAATGATGAGTGGATTGAGGAGGAAGGTGAAGAAGCTGCACGGAGAAGCTGATTGCATACTTGATGACATCATCCATGAACACAGATACAGTAAGAACGAGAAGCAAACATCAGATATTGATCTGTTAGATGTTCTTCTCCGATTCCAGGGCGGCGACGACGGGATTGATATCCCGTTGACAACTGACAACATTAAAGCTGTAATCATGGTCAGTTATTTTCTTCTCATGTATTTATCCTAGGTTTTTATTTTATGTGTGCTCGTCACAAAAAAAAAAAAAAAAAAAATGGATGATTGAGTATTGATCCATATTATCAAATTAAATTTAAAAGATGGATGATTGAAACAAGGGCAAGACTAAGAGTTACTTGATATATATATAATTTAATAGGTATAATTTCATGAAATAGATTTTAATTGAGGGTAATTATTTTAGAAATAAAGTGTATTATTCCAACAAATTATCTGCTGTTGAATCAGGATATGTTGGGTGGTGGGAGTGAGACATCGGCCACAGCGTTGGATGTTGGTCCCGATACATAAAACGGGTAGTGAATTTAGTAAATTGGTTGAACAAATTAATTAGTGAAAATACGGAAAGATTAGCCGAGGCGAGTTGACTCTGTCCTTAAGACGAAATTTCCCCGCAACGGTGCTAACGGATTAAATGGAAATCGTCTCCCAAGATACAACGGCTAAACTTGGAATAGGAGCACTCCAAATCCCAAGTACGACGAACTGTACTTTGTGTAGAACTTTTCGAGAGAATCTGTGAAGGGTAGGCTTAATATGTAGTAGGCTTGTTTTTGGATTGAAGTGAGGAATTGTGGGAAAGTTAGGGTCTATTTATAAGGTTCGAAAAGTAGTGTCCTTTGGAGCAAAAAGGTACATTTGTTTGAATGGTTGCACCATTTCAAAGGTACCTTTTGTTTGAATGGTTGCACCATTTCGAGTTGAGCCAATTGGGAGTGGTTGCACCATTTCGAGTTGAGCCGAATGGTTTGCATTGGTTCGGCCGCACCAATTCAGACCAGTCAGACCAATCGAGATGGGCTTCGACTAATAAGGGCCCAATGGGTTAAAAGCCCATGACCTAATGTTTTTGGCCCGTCCCAATATTTTGATATATATACAGCTCAGTACTTCTCTACTTTTCCAATGTGGGATAACTCAAATCCCACTTTCCTTATATTTTGGACTAGTAATTTTTTCATTCACCACAAAATTGGTTCTAATCCAAAATTCATTTATATACTCAATTAGACCGTACAATAACATTGATAAAAAAATGTTCATGACTCAATTTTTAACCAATTTTCCCAACAATCCCCCACATGAATGAAAACGAGGGCGTCGATTCTCTCTAGAGTTCCCGCGAATAGTATTGCATCGGGATAGGTAGCATATAGCTTTGAACCTTCCGTAGTGGAGTTACATCGGATTTACTAGGCTGAGTAGTGAACGCGATGTCTTGAACTGTCAGCCGTTCGTGTAAACCAAGACAATGCAACCCACACAATACTATTCTCACATTTCCTTAGTTCTCATGATTGTGTCCGTTTTGGCCATGGACACACATCTTGGATTCATAAGTGTTTGTCAAGTTTTTGAAGCGGCCCTCACTTCATTCACTTACATAGGTGATCTCCTATTAGAGGTATCCTGCCAATACCTCACCTTTTGTTATAAGGTTTTGGAATCATTAAAAGCTTTCGCTTATCCTTTACCCTCTCTGCAGGTAGCACTATTATCTTTCGCGGGAATGAGTTAGGAATGAGTTCCTTAGTGCTCAACTGAACTTTCTTAGCTTAGTTGTCCCTTTTGAACCAGTTCTTGGGATCTCCAGTCAGCATGGTTGGGTTACCACCAAGATTGTCCTTAATTTATGGGTTTTAATCCCATTCCCCTAGATAGGCAATATGTTTGATCTCTTTAGTTGACTTTTAGCCGCGGATCCGCTATTTAACCATTGATTTTCATAATCAATGCTATATTATTTCTTTTGAGATCAATTGCCTAATGGTCTTATGTGTACGAGTGTATCGATACTTGCCATTATACATGTCGTTTGTGCCCTTAACGTAACCGATTGGTTATCACAATTTATTCATAATTGTAGACACCGACTTAGTCCAACACGGAACATCCTCCAATAATTTTATGAAGTTTATTCAACTTCTTTTCTAATCTTATCTGAAGTTATACATTCGAATTCGTCCATGAATCGAGCTATTCAATTTTGTTTGAGGATTTCCAAGATACATAATCTTAGTGGACTCATACATCCAATGTACTTTCCTAATACAATTGGATATTTTCTTTAATGTAATCCATTTAAAAGCGATACTTAGATTACCTAAGAACCCTTATAATATCATTGAATGATTATTTATTTTGGAATTACATATTTACTAGTTTGCAATTCATTATGCTGCCAAACTATCCAAAAATATTTGTAATTGAACCATTGTTCATCATTATTTTTGGCAAGGTAAACACTTGGTTTTTTTTTTTTTTTTTTTTTTTTTTTTTCTTTTTTTTATTTTTTTTTTTTAAAACCACTAAACCAATTTCCTAGTAATGTCCCAACATGAAACTTCCAATAAAACTATCTTGGTCTTAGTGACTTTAATCTATAAGATTACTTCGTTCTAAACCCTCGTCTTTGGACATCAACCATAATTTCATTTTTATTTCCAATATTTTCTCAAGGTTCAAAATAAAAAACTATGTGATAACACGATTGTATCAGACATTACTTTAGAAGGACTTAACGGACTCCAATATCTTGTTATAAATAACCAAAAAATTCCATTGCTACTAATTTAGCTTTATAGGACCACCATTAATCCTTCTTTTGAATAGTCCATTTAAACCTTAATGGTTACTACTTTGAAGAAGACAAACTAACTTTAGCGTACATTCTTCCAATGTAGACAATATTTCAATAATTGTCCTTTGTTCATTTTACAACTCATAAGTTATAAAATCAAATCAAAATCAAACATATTGATTTTATTTGTCATCTTGTTGTATCTTGGCTGTTCATCACTTTGATAATTTACCACTTTCACATATTTTAACTTGGTTGTTCATCACTTTGATGATTTACCACTCACACATATATTAACTTGGTTGTTCATCACTTTGATGATTTACCACTTACACATTTATAAGTTCTTTTATTACGAACTTATTTATTTTCTTATTTTACAAGAAAACACAATATAATCAATTTGCATCAAGAGTGACTATCTTGTGCACAATCATTATTTATCCACTTAATTATACTAGGCCTTACACCCCCACATTTCTAAATATTAATGTGATTACTGGTTAGGGCCTAAAGACCCCCACATTTTTTTAAATATTAATGTGGTTAGCTCGGGGTATCTAATTTATGTGTTTAGGGCCTAATTAAAGACCCCCACATTTCTAAATATTAATGTGGTTAGCTCGGAATATCTAATTTTCCCCACAAATTCTAGAGTATGTATTCTAGAATTTATCATTATGATATCCATAAATTTTCCAAGAGTTTCAATACTCAATTTTTAATTCATTTGTCAAAGTTGCATTTTCCAACTTTCATTCAGATAGCATTTAAATGCTTTGAAATCCTTATTTTTATTTATCAATAAGGATACACAATGTAACAAAATACATTTCTTCTTTAGTTAGAGAAATATATTGGATCACCAATATGATTTAATTGTATTTCAAGAAATCACAAAAAGAGAAATCTTCTCAAGATACTTAAATCTTGTCAACAAATGAGGGAGTAAGATTTCTTCCTTTTCCTCAAAAGAGAAAATTCGTCAAGATACTTAAATCTTGTCAATAAACAAGAGAATATTAATCTCTTCAAATGGTGGTTGATCTCCACTATTCAACATTAAAGTTAGAATATATAAATTCTAATCTTAATCATTCATAATTTAGGATTGCATGTCCTAAACATGCTGTTCAAAATTCAGTCAAATCCAACGATTTAATTCTACAAAACGAGCTCTTAATTAAACTGCTCGAATTTTATTTCAACAAAACATCCATTGTTGTTAACAACTATTTCGGATCTTTGAAAAATCAAAATCCGATCTCATCCATTCACATTGTAGATCATTATTTTGCAAATGTGATATCAAATCAAATCGAACCCAACGACTCGATCTTCTTTTATGTTCTTGAGACAAGAACTACTCATGTGCTCTCATGAATTGAGCTTCTCTTTCTTTCTATTTTATTTCAAATCATGCTTTTAATTAAACCGTAGTATGATTCATATATATAAAACATATGTACATCAATATTATAATAAACATAATATTTGACATGTGAGCACGTCTTTCATACTAGTTGATCATAGAAAGAAACAATATATCAAGCATATTATATCAACATATATATAATATACACACGAGTATATAATAACATCAAATTTGAACATAATATGTCATGGCATAAATAAATTCATGTCCAACATAATGAATTGATAAAAATTCTTTAGCACGTAATCAATGCATGTCCATGCAATAACACAATTCTAAGGAATTAGTATGGCTTACGCAAATAATAATATGTATAATAATATTCCTCTTATTAAGTAACTCATACTTAATATACGAGACAATAATAAAAACGTTAATAAGATCACGTATTCACATATTCGAAAACCAATCAACCGGACAGTTCCACATCAAATGAAAATTGGGAGAAAGTTAATCCCATATCAAACTATAAGCAATTTATGCAAATAAATATTGCATTTTCATGAGAAAAGTCATTAGTATAGCAACTATCATGCGGTTTATGATAAACTTATTCAAATAATTAGAATGCTTATCACTTTATTTTATTTAGGATAAAATATTTCTATCATTAATGTACATTCACAAACATAATGAATATTCATTAAGCATATATATATATATATATATATATATATATATATATATGGTTTACCATGCTTCCACATAGAAAATTAAACTATCATGCAATAATCCACCATCATATAGCATTATCAATATATTTCACAAATAGATATCTTATAATTAAAAAGCGTACCCGATAAATTAAATGTTCGTCAATTCAAATTTTGTGGGTAGCACCAAATCGTGTCAATATTATGGCAGTGCTGAATGATTTATTCATATCTCTTCCATCCGAAGTCCGATTTTGTTGATTCAATATGATCCGAACAACCAACAAATTTTTCTACAACTTTTGTCTTTTACGTTTTCTGAGATTCCGACTGGATCATGATCAAAAATAAGCCTCGAAGTCGGAATAGGTGTGCTGTAAATTTGCACCTACAATGGAACCACAAAAAAATATTAAATAATATTCATGGATCGAAAATAGTATAAAACCTGATCATTATTCTTCGACTCAGTCTTCTTTCAACAAAATTTCGTGTATTGGACATTTGTGAGCCATTTAATATGCGACAAGTTGCATTGGTCACGAACGGTTGTATATGAAAAGGTGCATCGGCAGTTCTGCCACCCTTTCGTATTTTCGTCATAACTTCTTCGTACGATCTCCGATTGTGATGAGTTAACATGTTCTGGAAAGCTAACTTGATTATCTACAACTTTTGTGAAATGTTAATTTGCCATATTCGGACTTTAACACCTTCGAAATGGGGCAGGAATGTGGACTTCATGTTCTGTCCGAAAATGAACTTTCTCCAATTGTATTTTGTAACTTCTTGATTTTTGACAGACTATCTTCTTCTCCATCCCGTTTACCAACGTGTGCAGAAAACACAATTTACTAAATCACAATAGTTTCGTCTTAAGATTGTTGGTCCCGATACATAAAACGGGTAGTGAATTTAGTAAATTGGTTGAACAAATTAATTAGTGAAAATACGGAAAGATTAGCCGAGGCGAGTTGACTCTGTCCTTAAGACGAAATTTCCCCGCAACGGTGCTAACGGATTAAATGGAAATCGTCTCCCAAGATACAACGGCTAAACTTGGAATAGGAGCACTCCAAATCCCAAGTACGACGAACTGTACTTTGTGTAGAACTTTTCGAGAGAATCTGTGAAGGGTAGGCTTAATATGTAGTAGGCTTGTTTTTGGATTGAAGTGAGGAATTGTGGGAAAGTTAGGGTCTATTTATAAGGTTCGAAAAGTAGTGTCCTTTGGAGCAAAAAGGTACATTTGTTTGAATGGTTGCACCATTTCAAAGGTACCTTTTGTTTGAATGGTTGCACCATTTCGAGTTGAGCCAATTGGGAGTGGTTGCACCATTTCGAGTTGAGCCGAATGGTTTGCATTGGTTCGGCCGCACCAATTCAGACCAGTCAGACCAATCGAGATGGGCTTCGACTAATAAGGGCCCAATGGGTTAAAAGCCCATGACCTAATGTTTTTGGCCCGTCCCAATATTTTGATATATATACAGCTCAGTACTTCTCTACTTTTCCAATGTGGGATAACTCAAATCCCACTTTCCTTATATTTTGGACTAGTAATTTTTTCATTCACCACAAAATTGGTTCTAATCCAAAATTCATTTATATACTCAATTAGACCGTACAATAACATTGATAAAAAAATGTTCATGACTCAATTTTTAACCAATTTTCCCAACATTGGATTGGGCAATGGCGGAAATGCTAAAGAATCCAAGAATCCTGGAAAAGGCACAAGATGAGGTGAGACGATTTTTCGACGATAAAGGAGGATACGTCGATGAATCGAGAATTCACGAACTGAAGTATTTAATGTCGATTATCAAAGAGACGCTGAGGATTCATGCACCACTACCACTACTACTTCCAAGAAAATGCAGAGATAAATGCGAGATTAATGGATACGAGATACCGGTGGATACTAAAATCATCGTAAATGCGTGGGCTATTAACAGAGACCCTAAGTACTGGCGTAATCCAGATTGCTTTGAGCCGGAGAGATTTCTCGATGAGGATTTGGAGGTTGATTACAAGGGTAATCATTTCGAATATATCCCGTTTGGTGCTGGTAGGAGAATATGCCCCGGTATAGCGTTCGGTATGGCAAATGTAGAGCTACCACTGGCTATGTTTCTCTACCATTTTGATTGGAAGTTGCCACCTGGAATGAAGCATGAAGAATTGGATATGTCGGAATCATTTGGGGTCACAGCCAGGAGAAACAATAATTTGTTTGTTGTTCCGGTTATTAAACGACCACTTCCACCGTCTGTCAAATGATCGTTGCGTAATTTCACAGAAATAACGGAAGTTGTATGGTGGTTTATTTTAATTTTCATGTATTGATGAATGTTTGTTCAGAATGATCATCGTGTCGGTTGTTTTACTGGCTTTGCTCTTTTTTTTTTTCTGTTTGAACATTTGTCTGTGTTGACATGTATAATTGAGTTATTTATGACTAAAAACGTGTGGTTAGCAGCATTTTACCGCCTATTTTTTTTGTCAATTTTTGTGAATCGCCGCCCGAATGAAAATATTTTGCACAATCCCACCTGAACTGCCATTAGCGTACCTTCTTTACAATTTTGACTGAAAATTGCCTGCCGGAATGAGTCCCGGCAACGATCATGGCGGCCAGAAGGCAAAAACATATAGTACTATACGTGTGTCTGTTTGTTGATAAAATGTTTCAATTTCTGGTGGATGTCGGCGTTTCCTTGTGTGTGATAGACTACTGTAAAATAAATTGACAATTAATCATAGTCTATTATAAGAATTAATTCATAACAAATGAAGAATATCTTGATCATTGAAACATATTACTGCGCGACAAGCGTAATTGCATTTCGACTAGATCTTGAAAGAATGAACAAGTAATGCTATGATATGAGGCTTGAGCCCTTTCTCCGAATGCGTGTATCCATCTTGTTCATGCTTATAAGTGATCTCGGCTACTCTTGCCCAGTTGAAAACTCGCACGAGAATCTCCATCGAGACAGAATTATCCAAGAACCCTTCGTTCAGATCTTTCCATCCAATTTCAGCAATTTCATTCAAGCGCTGCATTGCTACTTGTTTCGATACACCATGCTCGTTCATGTAGCAATCAATCCCAGTCGTAGCTTGCCCTCTTTTCTTCTCGTCCTTACATAAATAAAAATTACATAAGAATATTACAAGATTATATATATATATATATATATATATATATATATATATATATATATATATATATATATATATATAGTGTAGACATTTTTTATATTTTTAATATAAATTAATAGAGATTTTAGAATCATGCCCCCGTCCCTACGCTGGCTCCGCCACTGTCTTATCATATATATGTACATACATACCTCGTAGGTGGAAATATCATCGATGATACGAGTTACTTTGTTATCAGCTCTGAGAATTTTAGGTCTTGCCAAAAGCCAATCGGATACTTCAATTGTAGCATTTTCCATGCCAACGAAGGATGTTACGGTCAAATAGTAGCAACCACAGGTAATCTCTGCTTGGCGCATGTACTCATCAAATGCCGGCAAATGATCACGTTTGACGAACCATTTAGCCTCAGCGTAGTAACTCCTCATAATTTCCTTCGCCTGGTCATCAAAACATTGCAAGTTAATTAGGTTATCATGTAATGATGCATCAATTTTTAGAAACATAAAAATGATAACGAAATGCAATGAATGACCCGGATTAATTAATATATACATACCGCCTCCTTGGCGTAATGAACAACATATGATCTTCCTTTTGGAGATAACTCTGCATCGAATGATTCATAAAGATCTAATAGAGCTCTATAGCATATCTTCATGTAGTCTGGGAGTCGATCTATTTCGCTTATATCCCATCTGACACATATTTATGTATTCATTATTAGTACGTTAAAAGAGGAAAGAAAGAAAAAAAAAAAAAAGAGATATTTTGTGCTCAAACACTCTTTACTTTTGTATGGCATCGGTGAAAACATCTAGTTCTTCGACTGTTCCATATGAATCATAGGTGTCGTCAATAATAGTTATAACGGCTATGGTTTTAGCCAGAATAATTCGAGCACTAGAATATTGTGGCTCGGAATAAATCCCGAGAGCCCAAAAATAGCACTCAACAATTCTATCTCTAGCATAGGAAACCCGGGAAACTGTCTTCCACCACCTATTATACACCCAAAAAAAAAGGCAAAGAATAATATTAATAATAACATGAAAACTATAATATTAAGAGTGTTCAAAGATATTAGATGTATGCATCCATACGGTATGTTGATGGGCGGTACTCTGTATGGGGGCCCACGGTCGGTTCGTGATGTCATAGGACGTGTACACCCATTTTCCCCCCCTCATTCTCTCTCCTGTTGCGTTCTCACATGATTCCAAAATTTCTTACATGTGGGTCCCATTGCCTAAAGTTTATTTTCCATTGTTTTTTTTCTTCTCTTCTTTCTTCTTTCGTACCCAATTGTTGGATGTTTTATTGCTTTTTATTTTATATTAGTTCCATCAATTATTCAAAAATAATATTACAAGAACCATGTTTCTTGAATCATTTATTCCAAATAATATTACAAGAACTATTTTTTTAATTAAATATATTTTAGGTCCAATTTATTTTAACTTAAATATGAATTTGTTTTATATACGTAAATACTATTGTGTGAACCATTTTTATAATTACATTCATTGTCCAAATAGGACCCATACAATTAATTAGTGTTTTAAATTCGATATACTATTTATTTTTTTCAAAAACATAAAAAAGAAAAAAAAAAAAAAGAACCTATGTAATGGGCAAACAGTACCGCGCATTGCGCGGTGCACACCCCTAGTGTATATATATATATATATATATATATATATATATATATATATATATATATATATATATATATATATATATATATCTATATAAAACTGGCTCTTGCCTGGAGGTTTACAACCACTCATTTTTTCGTTTCTTTGCCCCGCAATAATATAAAAACTACGCCTAGTTATATATATATATATATATATATATATATATTTATATATATATATATATATATATATATATATACTAGTAATGTGCACCGCGCAAGGTGTTGGTCGAAAACCTACACGCAAGTGCACGTATCGTACAAGTAATATAGTGGACAATTAAGTCCGGATATCGAACCCACAGGGAATATTTAATTACTTAATCCTAGACGCTAAATTCTAGCAATTATTATCAAGCCCACCCTACACAGTCGAATTTAGAGATAATTAATTAAAATAAATTAAAAAGCAAATTAAAAAGACAAGAACACGAAAGCAATTTAAAAACGAAGATTAATCAAAGTAGACAAGCCTAGGATTTTATTCTTCCCCCTATGTGATTATTATTTCCCCAATTCCTTCAATTATACAAGCAATTAACCCGGATTATTAACCTGAGATGCTAAAATAATCATAACCCGCTTCCGCGTGTATTACAATTCTAATACTCTAGATTCAATTACTATATTCCTATGCAATTAATTCTAGAACACAGCATTAAGCACAAATCTCAATAATGGCTACCTAAGAGATTAACTATATTCCTATGTTAATACCACAAAGGCTCTTCTACCACAGTTCTAATTATTAACCCGATCTTCCGATTCATGCGATTAACAATAACATAAAAGCACATAAGTTGATCAAGTTCAAGCACTTAATAAAACAAGTAGAAGAAATAATCCGGAATTAAAACTTGCATAAAATCATAGAAAAGGGTTCATAAATCCCACATAGGGTTCCAAATAAAATCCTAGAAATAAGTAGTTTAGCTACTCATAATTAAATCAAAAACGCAAATAAAATAAATCATAGACGGTAAATCTTTGCTTGGAGTCTTCGAATTCTTCGTTATTGCTTTGTTGCTCTTGAAATTGCGTAAAAAGATAGATCCCTAATTGTGTGCTTGGATTGGTTTTATATAGGGTGAAGAACTTGGGGAAGAAGGCAGTTTCCTTGTGCAATTAAAATCCCTTTACTGCGCAACTTCGGGGTATGGGACGGGGGTCCCATAATTTGCACTAAAACTGGGACGGGGGTCCGAGCCTTGTTTCTTCAGAATTTTGATATTTTCACTTTTGACCCATATTTTCGCCAAAATTGCAGTTTTGACCCCATACTTTTCCAATTCTTCAATTTGTACCTAAAATACAAGAAATCAACTTTTTAAGCACCAATTATCATTAAAACACATCAAAAGCCCAAATAAAAAGATACGATAAAGTGTAAAAATATACACTTAACACACCCCCAAACTTGAACTTTTGCTTGTCCTCAAGCAAAATCTACCAATAAGCAAATAACTCAACAATTACATCTCATCACATAGATCAATGATCAACTTCACGCTTTCAGAACTCGTAATTATAATGACAATTCTTAGGCATTCGCAAGCTTAAAATTCAACAACACTTAGTCACTCACCATTACCAAAAACCACAATTCATACAATTGCTTCAAGCATCCAATATTTGCAAATTAAAGATAGAAAGAATTTATACTTACATGCAAATGCTTGACTCCAAATACTCACCAAATTTTTCTACTCTACTAATATCGAACATTAAGCTATTGGGATCATTGGGGCTTTGTGGCTTTCAATTGTTAGGCTCTTTGGTTCGAGGTAGGAAATATGGGTATATGTGGCTATTCTTCTTGAATTGAGGTGATTACGCCAAAAATTGAAAGATAGGCGTTTGAAACAATGAATTCACCTCTACGGACTTTAATAAACTCGATTCTCAAAAGTTCAAAAGTCTCCACTTTTGCTTTTGAGGCAATGGATTGAGTTTTCAAAAATAATTCAACAACTAGTCCTTATTTCTCCCTTCTAGTCTCTTCTTCTTCTTCTTTTTCTCTTTTTTATTTTTTTTTATTTTTATGTATATAGAAGCATAGATGTTTGTCTTCTTCTTTTTTTTTTTTTTTTTTTTTTTTTTTTTCGAAGAAGAAGAAGGACCTTATAAAAAATTTCGACCGAACTCCAAGGGGTAATTTTCAAGAATCTCCACCTATTCTACCTTATACACATGGCTAAAAGAAAGAACACCTTTTCTCCGAGGCTCAAATCAAGGTTCTAAGGAATTTCGATAAAAAGGTCGGCTTGAAAGGCTCAAACGGTTCAAAGAAGGCCCAAATCATATCCCAAATCACTTACTACTCAATACTTCGTATCATAAATTTCCTAAGGTGAGTTCTAAAACCGAACATAGCATGATCTAGCACAAATTAATTCCAAATTTAAAATACAAAACATTCAACCAAAGCAATGCACAAAATGTGATTCCTAGCAATAATTCGCTTCTAAGTCCCGTTGAATCGAAAGCTAAACAAACATCAAATCCTTATCACATAAAACAAGCAATTTCATCATCAAACATTGATCATCTCTCATCATCATAAATCATAGATACATTCGACTCAAGCAATTTTTTTTTTTTTATATTCCGGAAAAACGAGAAAAACAATAAAAACGAATAAACGAGAAAAACAATAAAAACGACTAAAACCTAATGCATGCAAACTAAAACAAATAAGCACAAAATAACATGTTTTTCACCCCCAAACTTCAAATTTTCGTTGCCCTCAACGAAATTAGCACAAAGTTTAAGGATAGAAAACACCTGATTTAGTCGGAATCGTCGTCATCGGGGTATGAGAATTGGCGGGAAGGCAAAACGAAATTTTTTTTTTTCTTCTGGTTGTGGGACGGGGGTCCCAAATTTACACCTATTTTTGGGACGGGGGTCCCACAGGCAGTGGTGCAAATTTTTTTTTTTTTTTTTTTTTTTTTTTTTTGCTTCCCGGTTTTTGGGAAAGAACGTTGTTGCAAATGCACTTTTGCGCAAGTTTGTTCTGCGCATTGAAAGGGAATTTCCAGTTGAGCGAGTGTGCTTATGCATGTTTGGTGATTTGTATTAATGTCCGAGGGTTGTAGTATCACGTTTCGACCCTGAAAAGTAAATTCAAATATTAAATTAGAATGCATTGCTTATGATACTAGAAATGAATCGAAACGAAAAAAAAATAAAGAAAAATACGAAAAAAACAATAAAGCTCGGGTTGCCTCCCGAGAAGCGCTAAGTTTAAAGTCTTCAGCCGGACGTTGCTTCTTTCTCTTTTCAAGCAAAAGTGACCGAGGTCACTTGGCATTCTTCACTCGCTTCCCAATACGATTTGAGCCGGCTCCGCTTCACGTTGAACGTACGATTTGAATCGCGCTCCTTTATTTTAACCACCTCGTGAGGAAGAATTTCTTGGACAATAAACGGCCGCGACCACTTTGATTTGCGCTTCCTTGGAAATAACCAAAGACGGGATTTGCACAATAACACCAATTGTCCTTTGTGCAATTCCTTTTTGATTTTCTCCTTACGACCACAATAGCTTGACTCACCCTTCTCTCGTGATTTGCTCGAGTCTTTGGGTGGCAACATCTTCCTTGCACTGTCATCGCCGTTAAGACTCAAACTCGTATGACTTTCTCTCGGAGGAGTTGAAATTGAGTCCATGAAGTAAACTTGCTCTTTCCGATTTTCGTTTCCGCCATCATCTCCTGCACTCAAAGATGCTTTCCCATTGTCCAAGATCGAAACATCAAATTTTTCATTATTTGTAAAATCCATAAGCTCAATAGCACAACAATCATTATTATCACATGGATTTTTATTAACACTAAAAACATTGAATTTGATTGTTTGATCATGCACAGTCATTGTAAGATCACCACTAGCACAATCAATGAGAGTTTTCGACGTGGCTAAAAACGGTCTCCCTACGATAAGAGGTATCTCCCTATCCTCATCTATATCTAGTATCACGAAATCAACAGGGAAGATAAATTTATTGACTTTCACTAGCACATTCTCTAAAATACCTTTTGGGTAAACCAAAGATCTATCGGCTAATTGAAGAGTTATAGCCGTCGGTTCAATTTCTCCTAACCCAAGATTTTTAAAGGTTGAATAAGGCATAAGATTAATGCTAGCGCCTAAATCAATGAGCGATCTAAAATTTTTACCTCCTATAGTACAAGGAATAGTAAACTTACCTGGATCGCCGAGTTTTTGTGGAAGAGGCCGAGTAAGAATTGCACTAATTTGCTCTGTGAGTTGGATCATCTCGTTCCCTTGCAATTTCTTACTTTTCTTCACGAGGTCCTTGAGGAACTTCACCCACTTTGGCATCTTTTGTAGTGCTTCAATGAAAGGAATATTTATGCGAATTTCCTTCAACTTGTCCAAAAATCTTTGATATTCGGCATCGAGCTTCTTCATTATAAACTTTTGAGGATAAGGAATTGGAGGGACTTGTGAAGGCACCGTTGATGGTGGCTCTTCATGAGTTGATTTTTTTTCCTCATTTACTTTCGGCTTCTCGATTACCGTGTTTCTCTTCTCTTTCCGTGGGGCTTCCTCCAATTGCTTCCCGTTCTTCAAGGTGACTGCTTGGCACGTCTCGACCTCGATCTTTTTTGTTAGCAATCTTTGTGGATATGGGATTGGCTCAACCCATTCGGCTACAGTGACTTGCGGCTTGACTTGAATTTCTTTCTTTTTCTCGATTTTGAAATCGATAGCTTGGCACGTCTCGAACTTTTGCTTTCGAGGATCTTCCGTATTCGATGGCAATGCTCCTTGCGGACGGTTCTCTTGATTCAAAGCTAATTGAGCAAGTTGATTCTCCAAATTTCGCAACGAGGCTTGGGTAGCGGTCATGAATTGGGCCAATATCTCATCCGTGTTTGATTTTTGGGCCGGTGGATTGTTGCCTTGATAGCTTTGTTGAGGAGGGGCTTGATTTTGAAATTGACCTTGAGGTCTTTGATATCCTTGGCCTTGTTGATTTCCTCCATATTGCCCTTGTGATCTCCACCCTTGATTTTGGAATTGGCGAGGCGCATTGTTGACGTAGTTGAGCGACTCCACATCTTGTTGGCATTGGAGCGTGTAATGATTTCCACCGCAAATTTCACAACATGGAGAATCGATTGCTTGGACTTGTTGTGGTGGACTTGCTTTGATGTGCTGTAGAAGGAGTTGATTTTGTTGAGCAATTTGGGTCACTTGAGCTTGAAGGGCCGTAATTGCATCTAACTCCAACACTCCGGGAACTTTCTTAGCTCCACTAACCGTCCTCTCGCTTGACTTGGCAAACCGATTTTGAGCTATTTGATCCAACATGATAAACGCATCGGGTATTGATTGACTCATAAAATTACCTCCGGTTGATGCATCTAAGACGGTTCGTGCATTCTCGTTAATCCCTTGGTAAAAGATGTGGATTTGCCGCCATTGTTCGACTCCATGTGTTGGACACTGCCGCAAAAGAGTTTTAAATCTCTCCCATGCCTCGTATAATTGCTCGCCTTGCTCTTGGACAAAATTGTGAATTTCTCGCCGGATTCTCTCGTCCTTCTCGGGTGAGCTATAGACTTTCATGAAAAGGTTGAGGAGTTGAGGCCACGACGAGATAGAGTGGGGGGCTTGGGACATTAACCACTGGCGAGCTCTTCCTTGTAGGGAGTGCTTGAAGAGAATTAATTGAAGCGCCTCTTGGGAAACGCCGTTTTGACGGTGGGAATTACAGGTATCTAGAAAATTGACAATGTGCAGATGGGGATCTTCACCTGCCAACCCACTAAATAGCCCGTTATTTTGGAGCATCGTCAAAAGGCCTTGCTTGATCTCAAAATTGTGCGCCTCAATAGGTGGATATTGGATGCTCGGCCGGAACCCGTCGAGAGTGGGGATTATGTAGTCTTGAAGTGCCCGTGGCCTAGCTGCTGGCTGTAACGGAAGTTGAGGGGGTGGGTCTTGGACTTGGTTTCCGTTGGCATTGAGTAAATTACCCGCTGCCCTGCGTTCTTCGTCCTCCATTATATTATTTGCGCGTTGTCGTCTCCTAGCGGCTCGAAAAGTTCGTTCGATTTCGGGATCAAACGGCTCTCTAGCAAGATCGAGTCTCCTGTGCATACAAAGTACCTAAAACAAAAATAAAATAAAACGAAAATTAAATGGGTGAATCGTGAAAATTGTTCAAATCTAGAGCTAGAATAAAATAAATAATTAAAATATTCCCCGGCAACGGCGCCAAAAACTTGTTGGTCGAAAACCTACACGCAAGTGCACGTATCGTACAAGTAATATAGTGGACAATTAAGTCCGGATATCGAACCCACAGGGAATATTTAATTACTTAATCCTAGACGCTAAATTCTAGCAATTATTATCAAGCCCACCCTACACAGTCGAATTTAGAGATAATTAATTAAAATAAATTAAAAAGCAAATTAAAAAGACAAGAACACGAAAGCAATTTAAAAACGAAGATTAATCAAAGTAGACAAGCCTAGGATTTTATTCTTCCCCCTATGTGATTATTATTTCCCCAATTCCTTCAATTATACAAGCAATTAACCCGGATTATTAACCTGAGATGCTAAAATAATCATAACCCGCTTCCGCGTGTATTACAATTCTAATACTCTAGATTCAATTACTATATTCCTATGCAATTAATTCTAGAACACAGCATTAAGCACAAATCTCAATAATGGCTACCTAAGAGATTAACTATATTCCTATGTTAATACCACAAAGGCTCTTCTACCACAGTTCTAATTATTAACCCGATCTTCCGATTCATGCGATTAACAATAACATAAAAGCACATAAGTTGATCAAGTTCAAGCACTTAATAAAACAAGTAGAAGAAATAATCCGGAATTAAAACTTGCATAAAATCATAGAAAAGGGTTCATAAATCCCACATAGGGTTCCAAATAAAATCCTAGAAATAAGTAGTTTAGCTACTCATAATTAAATCAAAAACGCAAATAAAATAAATCATAGACGGTAAATCTTTGCTTGGAGTCTTCGAATTCTTCGTTATTGCTTTGTTGCTCTTGAAATTGCGTAAAAAGATAGATCCCTAATTGTGTGCTTGGATTGGTTTTATATAGGGTGAAGAACTTGGGGAAGAAGGCAGTTTCCTTGTGCAATTAAAATCCCTTTACTGCGCAACTTCGGGGTATGGGACGGGGGTCCCATAATTTGCACTAAAACTGGGACGGGGGTCCGAGCCTTGTTTCTTCAGAATTTTGATATTTTCACTTTTGACCCATATTTTCGCCAAAATTGCAGTTTTGACCCCATACTTTTCCAATTCTTCAATTTGTACCTAAAATACAAGAAATCAACTTTTTAAGCACCAATTATCATTAAAACACATCAAAAGCCCAAATAAAAAGATACGATAAAGTGTAAAAATATACACTTAACACAAGGCGCGGTGGATGGTGTCCAGGTTATACGGTGTAGCAGACCTAAATTGATAAGAAGAAGGACGAACAAAAAGTGGCATTTGATGTGTTCCTATGACGAAGTAAAACACCAAGTAAAAAAGAATACCTGCCCAGGAACTATAAACAAAAAGGAATGAAGAAAGGACGATATAATTTCCAAGATGACGAATGATAACCTGCCCCAGATTGGTAAGAAATCAGTAGAGTAGCAAGCAGCCTTAACTGGAAAATCCCTTCAAAGCCAATGGAAAATTCAGGAAAAAGTAACCAACACTTTTTGTTATATTTCAAATTTGAATTTCACAACAAACACCAGAAACAATTGTTTTCTTCGAAACTCCAGAATAACCAGCCTCATTTGTTCAGAGACTAAAATACCAGATGTACTCGAATTCAATAAAGTACTCAAACAAAGCTGAAGTCAATGAACGAAAAAGAATATAAAGAAAAAAAATTAGGCTCATAAATCAGAAGAAATCAAATTTAACAAATTTAAAAACAGGCTGCAATTAATGAACAAGAAAAATGAATATAACGCAAAATTACGTAATATCTAACAATTCAAAGATGTAATCATTTATATAAGTCTTCCAGAGATAACATGTACCGTTACACTATAGTATTCCACAATTTTTTGTTCTCCTCCTTCCATTTTAAATTCTTGCATTTCAATATCGTGGATGATTAATTTTACCCTGTAAGAAGTGAATTCGAACTGTAAAACTGGAATAACAAATGAAATAAGTTTCCATATATCAAAACTACACCGTAAAGATGATCGTATTAGAAAGTTGCGACATACATTTACCACACATAAAATAAAAAGATCTTGCCTTGACGAAGCCTTCCGTGTAAGCTACTCCTCAACCCCTCGATTTTTAACTATAGGCTAAAAGAATCATTCAGTAACAGTAGGGTAATGCTCATTCAGTAAATAATATTATTTTGATATTATTTAGGTTTCTATTTATTACTGTATCAAATCAATGTGTGTATTATGCTAAATAAATTACGAGCATAATATTTTGTACCTAATAAACACGTAAAAATGGTAATATTTTAAAAGCCATACTTTCATATCTTTAATTTGACTTTGTTATATCCATTAGCCAATTTTTACGAGGTAGATTAATTGATTTGATTGTTTGGTTAATTTTGTTATGTTTCATCGGTTATGTTATTTCTGATTCTGTTTAATACATTACTATTTAATGTTATTATCAAATCAACATGTGATTTGAGTAATTTTTTAGTAACCCCTAACAATCGCATTTATTTATTATGCATCTCAATAATTTCGGATTCTTATTAATTCTTATTGTTTGAATTTGTTTGATTTGTTCTAACCGAGTAACAAAAAAAATAATAAAATATATTGTTTTGCGTAAAGTTATTTTATTAACTGTATGTGAAAATTAAGTATAAATACCATCAACACAAACTCATTTATCTCATTCTTTATCAACACATTTTGTTATGATCATGCTAAACCGAGGTCCTCACCTTAAAACTTTTTTTTTTTCTTTTCATATTTATGTTTTGTAATTTCATAATGCGATCAGTATTGTGCGATGTGCATGCTCGCTTTGAATAATTTTATTTGTCGTCAAATGTTTATTACGTTATACGTCTATTATGTATGCATATGTATAATAGTCTAACGCATTATTGTTTTGCTTTCCTTTTAATTTTCAGATCCATGGATAACATCGTGCGTGTTATATGCGGCGACGTCCGCAAGAGAGAAGCATTGTGGCGTTGTGTAGAATGCAAATATATGATTTAGATATATTATATGGATGGATTTTAAAAACTTTTACTTCTAGTTTTCCATCTTTGATTATACATTCAATAATTGTAAGTTTAGTTTCGATGAAGAAGAAGTTGAGTTTAATGAAGGTGATAATGTAATAAAAAATACTAAAGTAACTCATGTATGTATTTTGTTATTTGTAATAGAGATTCTTATATGATTTGGTGAATATATTTAAATAAATCTAGTTTTTATATTTTCATGTTACAATATTAATTTGTACGTATCGTAATAATTCATTTATTTTTATCATTTTTTAATATTTACGTAAAATATTATTAGTTTGTACGTTCATAATATTTTTTTGCTACTAATCTTTTGAATCTTTATGTACATGACATTAGATCCACCCTTCTTCATTCACTGTAATTCCAATATTATGATATATTAGCAACATTGTGCCTAGATGTATTTGTGACAATGTTTGATTTTGTATGTTTTGAAATATGAATAATTATTTGTGCAAGCATATTAGAATTTAGAAGTACTGCTTTTGCAGAAAAACCTATACTAACTAGAGAAATATATAAATTATATAGCAAAAATTCTACATTGATCAGGGAAGGAAAATATACATTAAAAATAATGTGCGAAATATATAGTAAAATATACATATGTGAAAATGGATGTTGTCAATTCAGCGAGGACATTATGTGTGTGTATTTTTTGGATCATTAAAAACATTTTAGAGAACTTATCTCTTTCCCTAAAACAAAATGGTTTGATATTCCAATGAAAAGAAATCGACGTACAATATTACGAGCTTGATTTTTATGAAGTAGGTCTCGATTACGGATTTGTTGAGATTGCAAACTGAAATTTGAAGAAGATCTCTATGAGTATGCGTATTAGTATTAATACTAGTATTAGAATTAGTATTAGTATTAATATTAGTATTAGTATTAGTATTAGTATTAGTATTAGTATTAGTATTAGTATTAGTATTAGTATTAGTATTAGTATTAGTATTAGTATTAGTATTAGTATTAGTATTAGTATTAGTATTAGTATCAATATCACTATTAATATCAATATTAATATATATCAATATCAATATTAGTATCAGTATTAATAATAGTATCAGTATCACTATGAGTATTAGTATGAGTATGAGTATGAATATGAATATGAGTATGAGTATGAGTAAGAGTATGAGTATGAGTATGAATATGAGTATGGGTATGAGTATGAGTACGAGTATAAGTATGGGTATAAATATCAGTATCAATATTCGTATCAGTATAAGTACGTATCAGTATAATATCAGTATCAGTATCATTAATAGTATCAATATCAGTATCGATATCAATATCAATATCAATATCAGTATAAGTATCAGTATCAATATTAGTATTAGTATTAGTATTAGTATTTAGTATTAGTATTAGTATTAGTATTAGTATTAGTATTAGTATTAGTATTAGTATTAGTATTAGTATTAGTATGAGTATTAGTATGCGCATCAATATTAGTATGAGCATCAATATTAGTATTAGTATTAGTATTAGTATTAGTATTAGTATTAGTATTAGTATATTGATAAAAAATAGGAGATTGATAATTGTTGAAAATTAGTAGAAAAAAAAAATAAATACCATTAAGATTTTTTAGGGTTGACCAGCATTTCTTTCTTTTATATATAAAATAAGATATAAAACCTATAACAAATTGCTAATCAATTTAATAAAGGGGCTCTTTGAGGAAACCCCCTCGTTACTTTTTTTAATGGAGAGAGGTCTAAAATATTTCACTCAATTTGAAAACAATTACTGGTCCGATTATTGTGGATTGGTTAATGGTTGACAACCGACTTTTTGGTGGGTCTGCCCACCCCATCTAATTATTGATTTTTATATTCTAAATTTTGGAAAAGAATTATGCTTTTAAAATTATAGCCTTGAAAGTTGAAGAGTCTTTTTTACTAAATTCCTACAATAAGTAAATATATATTGAAGAATAGGAAATATGTTGTAATCGCTCTATTCTTATTGCTCTTTGGTTTGATGACTGTGTAGAAATAAAGTATAACGAGAACTAGACAACTTTCTCAAAGAGGACTTTGGAAATATGGCTGTCGATTTGCTCGGTAGCAAAATACGCCTTGTAATAGAATGCTCTAACCACCACGAAAAATGTTTGCTTCACATCTTTACTTAAGTTGCAGCTCGAGTTTGGATGTAGTACTAACTTCAACAGCAGCTGCATGTCCTTATCGATTTCACTCGTCGTCCATTCCACGTCGTTTACCTATACGTATATTTTACGTATAACATATTAATATCAAATTTAAGTTGCTTAAAAAAATAAATGAAAGTCTTTAAGTGATAGTTCTCACCTTTTTATTTCCATTTTTAAATTCTGCAAGCTGGCCACAGATTTTGTTACTGAGTCGACAGAGAGTTGTGTATTCATCGTGGGATAGTTTATCGTCTTTAGACGAAATATGGCCACCGCAAATATTCAATGTTCCAACAATTAGCTCCACTTGTTCGATTTCTTCATCTCCTTCCCCGGTTAGCTTCTTTAACCATGCCCCCCACTGCACATGTCATATATATATCAGACATTACTTATCAGAATACATGTGTGTGTGTGTGTGTGTGTGTGTGTGTGTGTGCGCGCGTACTTGTAGGGGATTTAAGGTTTAACTTACTAGATCAAGTAATAGATTGCTAACGTCTACGCCAGTCCGATCTAGTACATGCGTCGTGGATTCTTGAAGCGTTTCGAGTAGGATTGCAATAAGTCTGTGTACCTTAGTGTAACTATATCCCCTGAAAACAACAAAATGAATATATTAAAAATAAATATATAAGAACACACGATGATGAAGTTAGGACTAAAGTGTGTGAAAATATTCGAGACTTGCCATTTTCTGCCTTGTTTGTTTTGTAATTCCGTCGACAATGCAGTCCTTTGCTCCGAAGAATCTTCAGTGGAATAATAGTGATTTGAGAGAATATTAGAGAGGATATTGGTTTTAACCCAAGCTATTCTTTCTCCATATCTCTCTGTTTCAAATATGCTTGAACTCGCAACGAAAAACGCAAGGAGCAGTTCCTTTTTGCTTACTCCAAATTCTTCAAGATTCGAATGTTCGTACCATCTGCGAAAATAAATTTAATAAATTAAAAGATATGCAGATCATATGTATAATAATTTTATAATTAAGTTTTATGTATAAATATTAAGTACTGCTGCATATGGTTCCATTCCATCTGATGCTGGGCTTGACATCTGTTGTAATCTAATTTCCCGAGCTCAAGGTATCGTTTTTCGTTGATTTCCGGCATCCTATACAATGACTTGCCAATCCATATATCA